AGAAGTACTTAGTAACCTGATGAACAAAGTCAACACAAGAAGTACTTAGTAACCTGATGAACAACCAGTCAACACATGAAGTACTTAGTAATCTGATGAATAACCACAATCAACACAAGAAGTACTTAGTAACCTGATGAACAACCAGTCAACACATGAAGTACTTAGTAATCTGATGAACAACCACAATCAACACATGAAGTACTCAGTAACCTGATGAACAACCAGTCAACATATTGAAATAACAGGCTCATATGTTCTTTGATAGGTAGAGTATTTACGATGAAACTTTGTAGAACAGACAGCAACTGTGTTGTAGATACGAAAATCAGAAGACTTTCAAAATGTCATCCTCTACACTTTTGTCTCTACAACAAACAGTTGCCGTCCATTCTACAAAGGATCATAAGTTAATAAAAAATGTGACATTGTTTTCACAAAACCATAGTTCTGCAAAGAAAGAGAGTGATGAGGACCTTTTGATAAACGCTAGCTGTGTAAACATATATTACTGAGACTCGTCAGTGCAAGGAAAATACAGTACCATCCCTCTATTCTATATCTTTATGATCATGCTACACAATCTTTGGAGTTTTAAAAATAAAAGTGGGTTGATGTATGAAAGCTCACATCAAGTATCAAAACACTAGTAACTGTGTTAATCTGTGAATAAGTGATTCATATGATATTATAAATAATAATTATTATTATGAATAATTGTACAAGCCTTTGATATAAACAAGAAGCAAATGTTAATTTCATTTGTTTCACCAAATTGGTAAAATATTCTAAATAACATGTATAATTCAGCAACTAACTATAGATGTCAATTAGCTGACCTCACTCTTGATGATGAAGTGTCTAGATTATGAAAATGATAAGCTTATTAGGCTTCTCATCAATTTGTTCATGCTTTGCAATTTTTAAGAAACAAGAAACTAAACAACGAAGGTTTTGTTGGTACAGCTAAAACAGAAAATACAAAAACAGTTAATGTGTGAAGTACTTACGTAACTTTATGAACAACCACAATTAATTTATGCCGGTGCATGCTATACCGTAATGTCAGCTGTGCAGATTGCCGAGTTGCACTAAC